CTAACCCACATGCACCCATTGAGTGCTCAGGATGTAGTTAATTCATCCTGTGTTTTCAGTAAGACAAAAACCTCAGGCGTGAAAAAAGGAGAGAATGTCTCACTCGTAATGGTTTATATTAATGCTGAAATAACAGACTGTATATATTGAGTTAAAATAGATTGTTAACATTTCTTCTTGTTTTATGTTTTTAATGTAGTTTCTAGAAAATATAAAATTACACATGTGGATTGCATTATATTTCTGTTAGACAATGCTGATTTATACTCCTTCACCTCTCTTGTGTGCTCTAACCTGTTTTTTGTTTTTATTTAGTTATCTTGCTCATTGTTTGTCTCCTCTTTCCTACATATTCTCTTCATTACGTACTTTCAGTTTCTATTCAGGCAACTAATACATCCTGAGTTTTTTGTTACTGTGCCAATACTATAAACACGTAAAACTCCCTGTCATCCCAAGTCACAAGCAGACTAGCCCGGCCCTGTAGTCATCCACACTCCTCTCTCCATGCCCTCTCTTTACTGTGCATTGCTCTTTTAGGGGAAGGACCTGTTACCCCATTTATCATCCTAGCCTCCTTCCTCAAACCTCAGCAATCTGGCTCTTAGAAAATACGTTTACTAGCCTATTAAAAGTGTTGTCCCCAAGGCCACCACACTCCAAGGTTCCTAGGTTCTTTTACCTTAGCCGTGACATTTGTTTGTCTTCTGGGAGTCACCCCTCTTGGACCTCTAGTGTCCCGTCTTTTATTTGTGTCTGGGCCTGTGAGTGAGTCTCCAGGAACATCAGTGTGCTCTGTGCCAAGCTTGGGTTCACAGTGTCAGCTGAGAGCACCAGCCTGCCCCGCCCACTCCAGAGACTTCCACTTGAATTCCTTTGTAGCTTTCTCATCAGCTTCATGATCTGTGGAGCCTGTTTTTCCTTCCTTCCCTGGTCCTCTTCCTTGGTAGCTCCTCCGTCTCTATGCCTCCAACCAGAATGTTCTTCATACTTTTTGTCTAAGGTCCACGTCAGATATTTTCTGTCTCTTTCTTTGCCTTCTGGGTCGATTTTCTTATCTCGAAAAAGATGAAGATGATGATGCTGTCAAGCTGAATTCACAGTATTTTGGGGTCTCCCTTTGGACTGCGGTTATAATGGTGCTTTGGAAAACATACAAAATGTGACAAATCCGAGGTGGCCACCGTGCTGATGCTTCACAGCGTTCGTTGTCTTTTTTACTCGTTTGTTGGGACAGATTGTGTGTGTGTGAAGTGATATTGGTAGCATACTGAATTCTTTCATATATGAGCTTTTGGTCTTCTCAAAAAAACTCAAGCTCCTAGAAGGTGAGAGCCATACCATATGCTGGAGGAAAGGAGATGATCTGGGGGGAAAAAAACCCTTAGGTTTTTATTGTTTAGCCTTCTCTCTGGCCTGATCCTAGGCACATAGTAACACATGCTTCATACATGAGGCCCTATTCCATTAAGGTGGTAAATTCACATATCAGCTTTTTACATTTCTGCTGAGATACATCATATATGATGTGTTCGGGTTTTGATTTTTTATTTTATGTCTTTTCTTGGTACAGTGTGGTTCCATGGGTGGGACACTTGTCTTTTGTTCTTGGCATCCTTGACGCCTTCCTCATAGAAGGTGCTCACTTTGCATTTTCTGTGGGTGAAAAAGTCGTCTCAGCCTTTATTGCTGGCTTGAGTACTGGGGAACAGGGCTTACTTGGGGCAGGAGCCCTAGACAGGTTTTCTGATAGCTGAGTTTCTCTGTACTGCAGGGCTGCTCTGTCTCTGATTGGTCCTGTCATTTGGGTAGGTATGATATTGACAGCCTGCTCTCCCAGTAAGTAATAGACAGGGGTTGGGGATAAGAGCATGGAGAATCATGGGAATGTGCAAACCAGTTCTGTTTGGTGAAATTAAACTAGAATGCAGTAATGTGATCACATTAGTGGCTAAACTTAATTGAACACTTAGTTTATGCTAGCCATTATTTTCAATTTGTTTTTCTACAATAGTTAATTTAGTTTTCTCCAAAGTCCTGGGGATAGGGATTAATGACAGTAAGCAAACAGAATGTCAGAGATTTCAGAGGGAGTGAATAGTAGAGACATGACCAAAATCAGGTATATGGCTTTGGACCTCATTCCCTAATGCACAATGCTAACCCACTTCTCTGTCTAAATATAGGTCATGCTAAAACACACAATTCAGTTGTGTGTCTGTGTCTTTTCATTCGTTTCTAGAGCAGAATAATTGTCAGTTGTGGTCTGTTGTGTCTTTAAGCTTTGAAGGCTCTGGCCTATTTCTTTCAGGAAAATAGTTTTATTATGTACAGCATGCATTTGCTGTTTGCCTGCAATGTGTTAGGAGTTAATTATTTATAGTTCTTGCTGGAGCTGATGTGGCACTTGACTCGAGAGTTTATAAAGAAATAATGGCTTATGGAAATCCACTGAAATAGAAGTGGTGAGATGTTGACCTGGGTTTTAGGCTTCGTAGGTCAGATACTGTCAATAGTCCTGGAGAATATAATAAAGTCGGAGTTCCTGTATAAACCAAGCAAAACAGAAGTATTCACGTGAACAAGCACAGGAACTTAATGCCATTTGTCTGGAGAAACCAGCTTGTCTGTTTTTATTTTTGTCCTTTTCACATACAGTCTCTTGCCTACCAACCCAAGTTACTTTACATTAATTTATTTATCTGCTGAGCCATCTCACTGCCAAGTTATTTTGACTCAAGGAATAGTGCTAAAACCATGCGATCAGCTTCATGGCAGACATTACTTGAATGTATTTGCGAGTACAATGGCTGTATTAATGGAAACGTGAGCACTGGGATGGCTAGTCTGGATTGCCAACTTGACACATCTGGGAAGAGAGAACTGTCTTCATTAGGGCTTTTATTGCAGTGAAGGAACACCATGACCAAAAGCAAATTCGGGAGGAAAGGGTTGATTTCCCTTACATTTCTACGCCCTAGTCCATCATTGGAGGAAGTCAGAACAGGAACTCAAGTTCAGAACAGCTGGACCCTGGAGGCAGGAACTGATACAGAGGCCATGAACGGGTTCTACTTACTGGTTTGCTCCTCATGGCTTGCTCAGCCTGCTTTCTTACAGAATCTAGGACCACCAGCCCAAGGGCAGCACCACCCACAATGGGCTGGGCCCTCCCACATCAACCACTAATTAAGAAAATGCCTTACATCTGGATCTTTTGGAGGTATTTTCTCAATTGAGATTCCCTCCTTTCAGATGACTCTAGCTTGCAGGGTCAAGTTGACATGAAACTAGCTAGGGTAGGAGCCTCAACTGAAAAACTGCTTCTGTCAAACTGGCCTTTGGGCGTGTCTGTGGGGCATTTTCTTGGTTGCTACTTGAGCTCACTGTGGGCGGCAGCAGCCCTAGCCAGGGGGCATGGGCTACATAGAAAACGTAGTTCGACATGAGCCAGGGGGCAAGCTAGAAGCCAGCATTTCTCCCTGGTCCCTGATTCGTTCAGTTTCTGCCTCCACATCCCGGCTTCCCTTGGAGGACAGACTGAAACGTGCAAGCTGAAACCAACCCTTCCCTTCCCGGGTTGCTTTCTGTCGTGGTGTTTGTCATCACAGTAGAAAGCAAATCAGAACAGGAATTTCCCCCAAAGCATGAAATGGACCAGGAAAGGGGAGAAGTTCGGGGGCCCTTTCTCCTCGTCTCTCTGCCCCCAGACTCAGTGTCCAAAGTTGGTAGCTGTGGTACAGTACGGCACTGGAGGGTAGCTGGTTTGCTTTTAAGTAGAATCTCATGCTAACTTTTTAGGAGTCAATAGGTTAGCTTTAAATGAAATATATTAAAGATTCCAATAAAGACTGGTGGTACAGAATCAGTGTTAAAACGTACAAGTGGATTATTGTTTGGAAAGGGGTGTACAAGAGCAGATTGACTCTTTATAAACCCAGTAGGATCTGGGTGATGTAAAGTGAACCCGTGGGCAGGGTGGGTAAGTACTAGGAGACAGAACCTCACGGGCACTGGGCTAAAGGACAGATACCTTATCAGGGGCTCATAAGCAGAGGAGACTCCCAGGGAACAACTGAGGCTGGAGGCAAGGCCCAACAGGGAAGTCCGTTCCTTGTTGGAGACCAGATGGGAGCTGAAGGAAGTCACTCATCATGATCTGGGCGGTAGGAAAGGCTTGTACCAAGGTGACAAGAAGCAGGCTCAGAAGAGAGACTGGAGATATAAGTCATGTCACAGGGTCTCTAGGATAAAGATGCTGTCCATTCCTCACCTGTTCAGGTAACAATGGGTCCCACCTGCTGTCCTCCTGACGCCATTGTGGGCCCTGGGAATTAAATAGTGACAAAGCATGAAAATCACTGCTTGGTGAAACTTACTAGACAGTGACCAGAGAAGTAGTCATAGGGCAAGTCAGATCGTAGAGAAACATGAAGAGGGACTTCCAGGGTGTTGCCATTCTTCATATAACGCCCCCTCCTCTGTGTGTTTAAGCGCAGAGGTGACATTTGATCAAGCTCCTGGAAATGACTTCAGGGAACTCCATTCCTCGTGGCAGGGAAGCTGAAGCAGTGAACGTTACATCAGTAGCATACATCCACCGTATTTAGCGTGTATCTCGCTGGTTGGACATTTAGTTTTAGAGGGAGATAAATAACACGTGTGGGATAAAAAAAGGGAAAGAGGATGCTGGGATATGTGTGGATGCATAGACCTAAAAGGGATGCTAGAAAAATCCTTCTTCCTCAATTTCTTGGAGAAGCTATGCCAAAAGAAGCCGGGGGCCACAGGTCTGTGACGGCCTGGCCACCATGCAACCTCTGTCTGTAGGAGTTATTTCTAATATCATCTGGGGACAGTAGGATGGCATCGTCCATTTCGACAGCCGATTATTACATGCTGGGGCGTTGATAAACTCCTTCAGGCTTCATGTCTGGGATGATTAATCCTAATTTCTCACCTTGTGGCACTAATATTTTATGCTTGTCTGTCTCTTGCAGCATCGTAGGAAACCAACCTCAGAGAGGCAGACAGGATGGCTAGCTCCGCCCGGGAGCATTTGCTTTTCGTGCGACGTCGAAATCCACAGATACGGTACACACTGAGCCCCGAGAACCTCCAGAGCCTCGCAGCCCAGAGCTCCATGCCGGAGAACATGGCCCTGCAGCGAGCCAACAGCGACACGGACCTGGTGACGTCCGAGAGCCGCTCCAGCCTGACTGCCAGCATGTACGAATACACGCTGGGGCAAGCCCAGAACCTCATTATCTTCTGGGACATTAAGGAAGAGGTAGACCCCAGCGACTGGATAGGACTCTATCACATAGGTGAGTCAAAGCGAAGACTTGCGCGCGGCTCGACGCCAGATTTTCACTCTGAAGTCGAGACGCTCTGTGTTTTCTCCTGGCATAAAAAGAGTAAAAAGTTCTTCAGACACAAATAGACAAAGCAGATTCTGGGAGCTTGCTTTCTGACTTGAGAGGAAAAGCAACTGTGTCTTTACTGATAGGCATCCTGTGGTTCTATTTCTTACCAATTTAAATGTCAGACTCGGCAAGCACCGCAGCATTCTCTTTACAGTTTCTCCCTGCCCTTGAGACACACTCAGGTCTCGGGAAAAGGAGGGAGGTTATTAACAGCTGTGAACACTGTTCAGTGGATGTGAAAACAGTGTGCTCTCTAAAGGTTGACTTTCTATGAGAACTGTCTGGAGTCTGGCTATCTTTTTATGACTGGGAAGTGTATCTACTTGTTGGGATAAAATAGTCCCAGCTTTGTTCAGCCATATCCAGATCTGTTATTCACAGGTGAGTGAGTGATGAGTGTGAAACATCGCAGAAAATAAAGGTAGGTATTATTTGAATAAAAAAAAAACGAAACCTACCAATTAAGCATAAATAAATTTTAAATCTAACACAATAATAAAAATCTCACATTACTCAAAGTTGGAAGCTTTTGTCTCTGAATGAAGAAAATTACTTTACAGTTGACATCTGATGTTACTTTCAATGTCAGTTACTAATCAGGCATCCCTTTGATTGTTGTTTAATGAGTAAACACGGAGAAGTAACATGTTGATGGCCCATACAGCTAGGGCTTCCTAGGCAGGGCCGACCTTGCCCCCTGGAGGACACTGGGAAGTGTGTGGACACAGTTTTGACTGCTGCATTTTGATTTCCTCTCTGGAGAGGGATGAGGCTAAGAGGGTGCTCCACAGCACTGCATGTACAGGAGCGCTCCATCCGTCCTAAGAGTCGTCTGGTCCCCGAAATCAGTAGTGCCACTTTGAGAAACCTGGTTTAAGGCGAGCCTACATCCTTGCTAAAGTTTTGTTGGGATGTTAAACCCACTGAAACTTGCATTCTTTGGGGACTGATTAATCATGATGCATAGAAAAAAAAGATCTAAAATAGCAAAAATTTCAATGAGTTAGTTGCTTTCATTTCCCCCCTCTTATGATAACCAAAGGGATGACGGCAAAAGTCTTAAGTTGCATATTTTCCTTGGTGTATTTGACTATATAGTCAAAGTGAGGAAGGCATACAATTTAAAGTTCTTGTTCATATTGTTATGACCATAAAAGAGCTTGTAGATTTTGTGGAATGTCGGTCTTCCTTTGGGCTCCATAAAACTTCGGTGTTTACTTGTCTTATAAAATTTTTTTTCTTTTAGATTTTATAACAAAAAAAAGTCTTCCTATGACATTTCAAAATAGAATATGGTGGTTTAAAATAGTTTATATATTTCTTTGGAAAAATAATGTTTACTTTCTCGTGTAAGATTAATTTTTATATTTGGGTCTAACTGTGTGTAAGATGCTAGAATCGTGCCAGTATTAACTTGCATTACTTAATATTTTCTCACTCTTTCTTTTTGTTACACTGCTCAAACTGTTATGTTTTCCTGTCTAAACAGGAAGAACTAATGAATCAAAGCCAGGTGACCAAAACCATAAAGTTCAGTGTTCTTATGTTTTACCATTTAGAGGAAGGAGTGTGTGTCAGAGTTACACGTCTGGAATTAACCCATGACTCGAGCTAGGAAAGCAGAAATGGGGAGTGAATCCCTTGAGGACTTAACTCTTCTTCAAGAGCTTTTCTGTCTTCCTCACATAAATCCGCCCTGCTTTGGAGCGGCCGTGTGCAGTACACTCCCCGCCCCCAGCCCTGGTCACTTTATATTTGCTCTTTATTTTGGTTTCCATCAGTGTGACTACGACATATCCAGGTGCGATTTTCATTTTAGCTATCATGGTTGGAATATATGAAGTTTATGTTAATGCTTTTGATGAATCTGGGAAACCTCTTTGCCATTTTTTTTCTTAAAATGTGTTTTTCTGACTAGTCTTACTTTTTCCTGAGACCTGTATTATATTAGTTCACATTGTTCTACAAGGTACTTGTGGTTTTGATCCATTTTTCATTGATTTATTTCCTCCATGATAGTCACATTTCATAATTTATTCTTATCCATCTTCCTCCTTCACACACACACACACACACACACACACACACACACACACATTGGGAACAGGGTCTTGTGTGTCCCAGGGTAGCTTGGAATTGCTGCAGAGCTGAGGATGACTTTGAATTCCTGCCCCTCTTGCCCTCACCCCTTGAGTGCTGAGGTTATCAAGTGGGCCACCACACAGGCTCTATTTATCTATCCTCAAGTTGATTATCTTTTTCCTGTATTCTGTTGTCAGTCCTGCTTGGTGGATTTTAAATTTTCAGATAGTTGACTTTTAACTTCTAGAATTTTCATTCAGATCGCTTGGCAGGACAGAGTAGCAAGAAGCAATCATCTCAAACCTCTCAAGGGATGGGGCTGACACAGCCTAGGATGTGCATTGAAATGCCAAGTAAGTAGACTGAGATATTTGGTATTCTTGCACACGCTGTTAATCTTAGGAGATCTTCCACAGTAAATGGTCTTAAAAGGTATGGGTGCCAGGTCTGTAGCAGTCAATGTGATTTATTTCTGGAGTTGCAGGGCGGCTGCTGTATTTGAAAGTGAGGGATGGGTGATTTGATTTACCTGGGTCCTCAAACCGAGTGGATGTGGACGGAGACCAGGCTTTAAGCAGACGTAGCCATTTCTCTCCAGGGGTGGAAGGTGCTCTTTTCCCCTACTTCAGGGGGAGAATAGGCAAGCACTGGCATCCCTTGTGGAAAGGGGTAGGAGGCATTAACTGATAGCCGTATGCTACTGTTTCCTATATAACCTGTTCAGTCTGTTTAATGTTACTTGTGTGTATATTTTCAGGGCTGACCATTTGGTATTGGGTAACCAATGGGTGTGCTCCTCCTCGGAGAGGCTTTTTCTCCCATTCCCAGCATTCTTTAGTTGCTTGTGGTTCTTTCTGTAGGGCTGAGGCCTGGTGGGCTTCCCTGTGTCCATCGTTGTCCTTGTTCAGCTCACATTTGGGTAGCCATGTTGGTGAGACTTTGTGGGTGTAGCTTCTGGTGTTACCAGGAGACACATTCTCAAACTCCCTGATCCTCTGGCTCTTCCCACCTTTTGGTCCCTCTTCTGTCACGTTCCCTGAGCCTTAGGCATGGGAGTTGTTTTGTAGATGTATCTGTTGGGACTGGGCTCTACCGCTTTGCCGTTTCAGTTGGTTGTGGTTTTCTGTAATAGTTTCTGTCTGTTGCACAGAGAAGTCTCCTTGGCGATGGGTGAGGACATCTGTGGGTGTAAGGGCAAATATTTAGAATGTAGTTGGGCATTATGCTGGATTAGTGATTCGGTGGTTGTAGTTTCACCTCTATTATCCGTGACTTCAGTCGTCCTGGGTAGTTGTCTAGGTTTTCAGTAGAGGTGTGGTTTCCCTCTTGTTAAGTGGGTCTTACGTCCAACTGGAGAGCTGTTGGTTACAGCCAAGGTATGCATGTCCACTGTTGCACCTTACAATTATCATGCCATGCTGGTTATTGATGTGATTCATACACAGTGTAGCTGGGTTGGACTATTGGTTGCTTCTCTCATTTGGAAGCTTACATGGTGCCTTCTGATACCCTGAAAGCTAGCCCTCAGAGAGGAGGCTTTCAGTTAGTTCCAGCTCAGAAAACCTCTGGGCCGTGTGTCTGAAGTGCAGGGGATCTTCCACAATAGGGACTCACCTTCCACCTCTGGGGAAGGGGCTACCAAGGGAAATAGCAACGGTCTGTAATATTCTGGGAGCCTTTTGGACAACCCTGACTGCCTTAGGTAGGGTTTCTATTGCTGTGAAGAGATACCATGACCACTGTAACCCTTATAAAGGTAAACATTTCATTGGGACTGCTTACATTTTCAGAGGTTTAGTCCATTATTGTGGTGGGACATGGTAGTGTGCAGGCAGACATGGTGCTGGAGAAGGAGCTGAGAGTCCTACCTCTTGACCCACAGGCAGCGGGAAGTGGTCTGAGTGTCACGCTGAGTGAAGCTTGGGCAAAGGAGACCTCAAAGCCCACCTCCACAGTGACACACTTCCTCCAACAAGGCCACACCTCCTAAAGTGTCACTGCCTATGAGCTTATGGGGGCCAGTTACATTCAGACTACCTCACTGGCCAACGACTCAAAAGAAGTCTTGTAATGTTCACCGTTGGGGCTTTTGTTAGATGGTCTTTGGCTCTTGGAGGTAGTGAAAATTCCATTTAACTATATATGTGTACTTATACACAGACATGTGTATTATAAACTTATTTTTAAGTCGATAGTTAATGATTCCTTATGACTTTTTCAGACCTCCTATTGTTTTACTCTCTTCCCTCCTTTTGCATTTCTCTCTCTCCTCCTCCCTAATTAGAGGCCCTCCCTTTTCCCATTTCTGTAATCAGATCCCTTGTAGCCTGCTAGTCCTCTCACTCCCCACCCCATCCCTGGCAATGATCCCTTTGGTCTGCTTTCTGTAGTTACTCCAGGACATGTATTCACATTTGGAGATAGGAGCCTCAGGTGAGTGAGAACATGAGATGTTTGTCTTTCTAGGTCTGGGTAACGTCACTCAGTGTGATCTTTTCCCTATTTCATCCACTTACCTGAAAAGCTCATGGTTTCGTTTTCCTTTGCACCTAAATAGTGTTTAATGAATCCTATGCACCACGTTTTCATTATCTAACCATCTGCTGAAGGATGTTTATGTTGTTTCCATTTCCTAGCAATTGTGACTAGAGCATATCCAATGATGATAACTGAGCAAGTATCTGTGGAGTGGGCAGTCCTTTGGGCATAGGACGAAGGGGGGTACAGCTGGGCCATATGGAAGGTTTATTTTTAGCTTTCTGAGAATTCTCCACAAAGGTTTCCATGGTGTCTGTATGAGTTTGCGATCCCACCAACAG